CTTAAAAATTATGAAATTCTTACATAAGCATTTGTCTCCAGGAGCTGGGGCTTCAAGTTAAACATCAAACATAATGAGATTTGCATTAAAATTGAGAGTTGGCAACACTATAATGAAACAATGAGTGCGAGAGGAAGGAAAATTGTTTTGCAAGCCCATTCTAAAACGCTATGGCCAGTTCTGCTTTCTAGTATCATTACAACCATATGTTTGTGACCTATGGGGACATATTCCCATGCACTTAGATGGACATGTGTTCATAGTCAGAACTTAAGCCCGTGGATTCCTCATGAAAGAAACTAGTCTGTAAAAATGAATAAAGCAGATAGTGTCTGTGTGGCCAGTTCCTTGCAATCAAGAGAGAACAAAGTCTTCCACTATGGACACACCTTTCTCATGATGGGGAGGGAAGAGACCCCTCTAAAAGGTGGAGAGGAAGAGAAGAGCCAGCCACTTCCAAATGTGCTAGAAAAATTGTGGTTGATGAGAATGAGATGTAGCATGCACAGTTTTTTAGAAAGTTGCAGGGAATGTTGAAAATTGTAATGGAGAGCTAGTTTCAACATAAACTCCGGAGCAATCAGTATCACTTCATAATGAACTACTTTCACATTGCCTCATCTGTTTTTACTGTTCCCAAGCCCTAAATATTTTGTACCTTTGCAGTTCTTTTTAAAAAGCAATAATTTACTTAATTCTAGTTGAAAATGTGTGTGAAAACATAGGCCTTCCCACAGTAACTTAAAAAAGAAGAAGAAAAATCTTTTGTGGTTAAATAATTTCAGTCATTGTGTAGGAGTATTGTGGAGACTATATTTTTTTGGTGAGAGGTGTAGGTTTAAAGGACAGAGGTTATGCTGATTAGTTATGCAGGATGCAGCTTTTTGCTTTGAAGCAACAATTTGTTCACAGAAATGCAAGGAAATGGGAAGGGAATAGCTGAGATTTATGGGAGAAGAGTCATTATTGATGTTCCAATTGGGATATTGGTTGTGGAGTGAGAAAACAACAAGCATTCAGACTTGGTTTAAGTTCAGTCTCCCAAAATTTGTTTGACTTTGAAAGCAGAAACCTAAATGTTGTGGTAACAAAAATGCAGAACCTCTTTACGTTCTTAAATGTAATTTATGGGACAATGCACCATGGTCAAAGAACCAGAAAGCCACATGATTTCTCTAAAATGTAATATGGTGCTACAACACATTAGCAGAACAGGGAACGTGATTTTAAAAATTGGACTACAGTGATGCTGACAAGTGGTTTCGTCCCAAATTTTAGCTGTCTCCAAATAGTTATTATGTGATGATGAATGTCCCCAAAATGCTAAATATCCACTACTTACTTAAAAACTAACCCTTTCTCCAAAAAGACAAAATACAAACTCTCTGTCATCTTAGTGTTTTGAGGTCTCATGTCAACTATGATTTCCTATATGTCATTGCTTTTCATTTTGTGGGTACTTTATTTTAAATTGGAGATGCTGTGAAAAAACCCAAGAAAGTGTATTCTTGCAGTATTTTCAACTTGTATGCTACATTCCTTCATTTTATCTAAATGGCTATAATCCAGCATTGTATGACAAGAGAAGAATTTCACCCAATCACAGCCTAGAAGAATCTATCACTCTCTTCAGAAATTGCATTGAAGTACTTATTGGACTTACCAGACCAATTTTTTTCCTCAGTAGGTATCTAACTTACTGCCCACAGTGTAACGTTTATGTGCATGAAATTGGGTAATTGAATATTTAGTACTAAGTTCATATCCAGTGTATATGGGTGCAACTTCTTTGAAGTCAAATGATTTGCACATGCTTGAACCGTGTCAGAAACTGATCCGTTAACTTTTCAAAGGACATATTTAGGCTCCTATTTTGGGAAATTTAGGCTCCAATAACATCACAAGTTTTTCCACTCAGGACACTCTTTTGCTCAATTATTTACTCACTTGACATCAAACAAATTTGCACTTTTAAAACCTAGCCTTGCTTGGTTACTTACTTACCCAAGCCACAAATGGTCCATCTCAGCATTAGCAGAAAGTCAGAAGGATATGATGGTTCCAAACAGAATCCATGAAACTCCAAAAGGTGAAACAACAAGAAGGAGACAATGAGGATGTCTATATTTTTCTAATCCTGTTGTGTTATGAGAATGTTAGAATTAAGAGGATGTTAGAATATCCTCACTAGAAACTGCTTTTACAGTTATCAAAGGCCTCAGCTTTGCTTCCGAGTTTAACAAGCTATAAGACATTTATTGCCTCACCATAAACCTTATCTCTTAAGTAAATAATTTTAGTATAAGTTTATAGATGACTCTAAAATGAAGATTTTTAAAATTTGTTTTGCTTAATAGCCAGATATATAAACTAGTACATTAAGAGAAGGCAGCAACCTGAATTGCAGGATTTGTTTTTTCCCAATGAATAAGATCGCGTACTGTGAATAGTACATTGTACTGTACCAAAAAAAGCAGCTGACTGCTGTATGTTATAAGAGCTGGTCACCAGCAGACATGGCCTATTATGAACTCAGATGTAGGACTTAAGATTTCTGCAGTCAAACAAACAATTTTGGCCGATTCCTGGATATTTGTTCTTTCAAAGGCCCCTTTACCTGCCTCATTAAAACTCTGATTCAGCAAAACACTTAAGCATGTGTTTAAAGTTAAGCACTTGCTTAAATTCTTTGCACAGTAGAGAAGGAATTACTACTAATGTGCTTGAAGCTAAGCGTGAATGTAAGTGCTTTGCTGAATAAGGACATTGAAGATTTAAAGTTCTTGAGAAGCTTTCAGAGAAGTTGCTTTTCCTCAAGTACAGACCTATGCCACTTTCCAAGCTGAGTGTAACCTGGAATTCCATTAAACTTGTAGAGTTTCCCAAGAGAAACAGAAGCTTTTTGTGTTGACTCTTTATCGTATCTTATCCTTTTTGCTTGAGTCTCAAATACAACTGCTGTTCAATCAATGCTGGAAGAGGTAAACCAATCCCTCTTGTGTAAAAACATAACCTACCAAACAAAGTAATGTCCCATATCGTTGTGGGGCATTCTGTAAAGTCTTCTAAACTCAAGGTCTCACGCATCATCAGCTTTGGGTTTCTCAAAGAAACCCTAGGGGCTTGTTCAGATTTGGGTTTGTATTGTTGACGGTCAGGGTATTTGAAATGAAATATTTGCTAATAAAGTGTTCTTATAACAGTGTAACTTATCTGTGAGAAAGAGAACAGAAGAAAGAATCGTGACCACCAAAAATATCTCTTGACTTTCAGGGTATGTCTACACTACAGTTAGACCCTGCGGCTGGCCCATGCCAGCTGACCCAAGCTCAGGCTAAGGGGCTATTTAATTGCGATGTAGAGGTTCTGGCTCGGGTTGCAGCCTGAAATCTGAGACCCTCCCACCTTGCAGGGTCCTAGAGCCCAAGGTCCAGCCGGATCCTGAATGTCTACGCTGCAGTTAAACATCCCCACAGCCCAAGCCCTGTGAGCCTGAGTCAGCTGGCGCAGGCCAGCCACGGGTTTTTAATTGCAGTGTAGATATACCTTAATACACCTAACTATACAAGAATGTGTTTTATTGTATTCTCGTGTTCTCGTGACAATATAAACAAAGAGATACCATTAATTAATTAATGTTTGTAAAGAGCTGAGTAAGTACCGAGTGTTTTAGTCTTACTCTTATTTACTTGTGTTCGAGATAAGAGTGAACAAAAACACCTGAACTTTGCAGAAGTTGGGACCCAGATCTGAACTTTGCCACTGGCCAAAGTTTAATGATCCAGCTCAGACACCTACATCTAGGGTGACCAGATGTCCCGTTTTTAAAGTGACAGTCCCATTTCTTGGGACTTTTTCCTTATATAGGCGCCTATTACCCCCACCCCTGTCCTGTTTTTTCACAGTTGCTATCTGGTCACCCTACCTACATCTGAACACATGCTGAGCTTTAAAGAAGATTGGATCTGGATCAGAACTTTGCAGCTCTCTCTCTAAATGTTTTGCTAGTGACATCAGAATGTATGTGAACTGCAAAAGCTTGCAGTGTGCAAGGTTATATTCCATGCTCATTTATAGAACATAAATAGCTCCTATTTTTATAAATTTAAAAAATGTCACCTGAATGTTATCAAAGTGTGTGTGTTGGCAGTAGGGACTTAGGTAGTTTGATCTAATTTTTAAGTAGTATATGCACAGTAATCTTTTGCCTGTTTTAATCTAGTCAATAGTGCAGAACTATTTTTGGACCCATGATATAGTTAGTCAAAGTTGTGTATTGGGGGAAGGGGGAAATAATATATAATGAAACTATTTAAATAATTACTTATGATCATTCCCATGTACAGCAGCAACAGATATACATGTCTTGGTATGCTGTCACATCTATTTTCTGCTTTTGGCATATGGTATATTATATAAATAGGTAAAAGCTAAAAACAAAAACATTTTAACCTGATATATATAGATATAGATATAGATATAGATGTATGTATATGTATTTTTTTAAACATGGAACAGTGTAATCTAAGGAAAGGATTCAAGCTCCGTTTTCATATTTTGTCGCCAGGATCCCTTTATGTTTTACACAGGCTTTCTTTTTTAAATCTTTTGTGCTTTGTATTCAGTACTCCTTCAGTTTTAGCAGTTCCATCACCCATAGAGATGACTCATCTTCACTGTCTTTTACTGTCTCATGCTGAGTGAACACGGGGCAGAAAATCTGCTTTTCCCCCACCCCTATAGTTAAAGCGCCTGTGGAAATAGACTCATTTTGATAAAGCAAGTTAGCCATTTTCTGTCAGCTTCCCTCCTTGGGTAAGTGTCCTTCAAATGGCTAAGAAAAGTGCCACCTGATGCTGACTGGGATGAAACTGAAGTGTTTACTGCTGCAGCAGTCTGTTGTCTGAGACTTTGAGGGAGTAGGGTAGAGACAAACCACAGTATAGAAGAAAGTGATGTCTCTCGGGGTGTCAGATGACCATTGCTTTAATTTTTTATAGGTGATGTCTTCGAACATGGTAAAGGGCCTCTATCCGCAAGCTGGCATTAAGATACCATCATTGGTCTCTGCAGCAGAAGCATTAGATACCACTGTGATGGGCAACCTTGAAATACCAAGAGCAGCAAGCAGCATACCACATCTTCATTTTTAGCTCTTTTCCATACTCTGCTCTGTAAGTACAGTATGCCAGTGTTGTGCCTGCCAGTTGGAGTTCCCAAATTGCTTAATTAGGTGTTATGTATTAGGGTAGTACAGCGTACATATTTAAATAACTTGCTACTTCAGGGAAGCGTATTTGCCATTTGACATGACATCAAATAGTTTTTAGCTGTATGAAACTTTGCAGATGGCTAAGATAAGCAAGAAGGCTACTTTTATGTGTTTTGATTTACTAGTCCCCACAGTAATGTTATATGAAATTCAGCAGAATTTTCTGTGATCATTAGGGAAATCAATATTTTTCCTACAGTAAATCACAGGTATGCTGTAAACAACATGAGGCCAAAATTGACAGGTAGCACCTGATAAATAGAATTCATTATTTTGCCAGTCTGACTAACAAGAAAGTTAGCACATGCATTATTTACTTTGCAAATATATTCCTTAAGACCTGTGATAGGCTTAGAGGTGTCTCCCAATGTTAAAGCTAGAGGGGTGTGTCTAGTTTAAATGATTTTATATATGCAGGTGTAGTTTCCAGCTTTAAGAAAAAAATAACTGCGACCTAATTGCATTTACTTGTGCTGAATCACTTCTTGGGAAGGATTTAGCTGATCAACTATTTCTGGTCTGTTGAAGGGAAAAGTGAGTGAGTGACTGTCATTATCTTGATGCTGATTACTGGAATTGACAAACTTAATAGCAATTTGCTAACCTTGTTTACAAAACTGGCCTCCCGAACCTGACTCTGTGATTTAGAAGGGAAGAGAGCCAGACCACTTAAAGTGTCAGTACTGAAAACACTACATCATCTACATGATGTTCTGATTCAGGGAAAGGAGATGATGACTCAGAGGTATTATCATCAATCCCATCTCTAGTCCAGAGAAATTTGCATAAGGAGGGAAAATATCATTTTTGGCACTTAATCAAGAAAAAATGTTTTATCTCCCCCCCCCCCTTTCTTAATTTGGAACTTAAGGAAACTGGGCTGTAGCCCAGTGCAACCTCAGGATAAGAAATGTGCTATATTAGCTGGCATTTGCAACAGTTCTCCCTAAGAGTTCTTAAATGATGTGCTGCCAGATTTTCTCTCACTCACACACACAACTAAGAAATATGCTGTTGGCTAAAAGCACAAGGCTAAGGGTATTGCAAAATTCTTAGTGGTTTGTTTTTTATTTTTTATTAAGGGAGGGGCTAGAAAGGTGAGAGACCAGAAAGGTGAGAGACCAATCATGTATATTAATTTGCTTCCCAGTAAGAAAAAAACCTCTCCTAGACCTAGGGCCCTGGTTGAACTTTGACCCTGAGTACTCATCTCACAGCACTGCTGCTTTCTAGGCCTGCATTTGTTTTCCCATATGAAAAATATCACAGTGCCAACTACCTCTGTGTCCATAAAGGGAGCTCAAGGTATTAAATATGAAAATGATCAAGATCTTCACAAACTGTGTACTCCCTTCACCTCCTCCACCCACCCAAAAAACCCTAATAAAAAAAATTAAAATAAAAGCAAACACAGAAAACCATGTTTTCTGCCTAAACATAAAAATAAACAGTAAATAAAACAGGAGTTTGTGAGGATCAATGACTCTCTACAAATTAGTTTAATTTAAATGCTCATTCTCCGTATCTCTCAATTGGGTCCAAAACCCCTGTCAATATGCTTCCCTTCCTGCTTTGACTAACAGATTCTTCTGACATTATCCTAAACCTCTCTCTAAATCTCTTGGGGCCACATTGATTCGCTATCTGCTCTCCACTAGGCCCCTCTAGATTTCCTGGTTTCCAGGGCTGCTTTTCCCTCACTCTTTTGTCTTTGCTGCTGCTCCAAGTTTGCTTCTTGCATTGGAACACACTTTCAACCTGTGCTGCATTTTTAGTCACCAGTTGTGCTACTGTCTCAAGCCACTCCAGGCCCCTCTTTTCCTTGTGGGCCTTTGTTTTAATTCTTTCTGGGCCTCAGTGCAACTCTCAAGATGCTCTCTGTGGCCTCTCCCACATCTTAACTCATCTGGCCCCTCTGGGCTTCTCTTAAAATTCATCTAATTTCATCTGATTAATTGTTTCAAGGTTCCTGCTGTTCTGATCCTATCTGACAGCTGCTTGGTGTCATCGTGTCTTTATTCTTTACCACATCGTTAGCTGTTGGGTATTCATCAGTAATATTGCCTTCAAATGCATTGAATTTGCTGGTACCTTGTTTACATTTTCTCCATAACCTGCGCAGTTCTAGACATTCACTTCTGGTGTTGCCTTCTTTGTAGTGATGTAAAGACAAACGAGTCTGATATTATAGCCAGACTGCCTGCCTGCCACCTGTTCTGTCTTTTTACCTCTCTCCTTTTCCACTTTGACTATAGCAGATGCTACCACAATCCCTGTCCTAGATTCCATTCTAATTTCCTAGTATTTTCATTCTCCCTGTCTCTCCTCCCCTCTCCCTGGTTGATGCTTCATCAGTGTTTGGGCTGCCAAAGCACTCTTTAAACCCACATATAATTCTGTTTTGAGCTTGGAAACTCTGCCCAATGGTCCTTTCAGTTCTCCACCTTCTTTTTGTTTTCTGTCTTAAATGAATTGAAATAGACATGGAAGGGGAAGGGCTCGGTCTAGACTTACAAAGCAATTTCCCCTTCCCGAAAGGGCAGAGCACATTTCCTTCCAAAACAACCTGGCTGGGAAGTCACAAATTTCTTGTCAGTGCTGCTTTTTTTTCTCCCTGAAAGCTGTTGAGTCAAAACATGACTGTCAAGGCTGACCCAAAGGAACGTGAGCGTGGGTATGAGAGTGTTTCCCTTCATTCTTCCTTAAAACCAACAGAATGGGGGAAAGAGAGATCTGGGGGAGCATGCATATGTGTGAAGGTTAAAAGGTAATCGGAAAGCAAATAATCTTGGCACCCCTCCACAGAGAGACTGGCTTTTGGATTGATCTTGCACTCAAAGTGCCTTGCAGGGGGTTTATTCTGACCAAATAGTATAAATATTAGAATGACTGTAAGGAGGGGGAAAGTTTAACAAATAGGAGGCTAGTAAGCATGCAGGCAAGGCTGATCAGTTGCAAAGACTTTTCCTTAGCAGGAAAGAGTTAGTTTGTGGTTTTTACTTTAACCTCTCTGATGTTACTCTCATTCAAGGATAAGATACGTTTTCTTATTGCTTCTCTAAATGCAGTTGTGTTTGTTAACTTACTTAATTGTGGTGTCGTGTCCTGTCAGGGATTTTAATTTCAAGGCATCCACTCTTACCTTGCTTCTCCCCTGCTCTGGGTATCACCTTTGTTAAAAAGAATCACTTTATACATGAAAAATAAAGAAAAAAATAACATAGAAGTTACTGAGTGTCTCCCCTCACATATTTTAGTGATCCTCTCTGCTTAGATATTTCAAAGATATTAAAGTCAATGTGAGTGGAAGGGGGAAGAAGTTTAAAAAGAAAAAAAATGTGGTTGATATCTTAGTTCATCAATATTTCTACTTAGATGCCCCCCTTCATCATTTAGGTTTGCTATTTCAGTGGTGAAATTTCTGGCTTGGTCAGAACCTTGCAGGACTGAGTGGGGAGATGAACTGGAGTGTGACTGGATCCTGGCTGACTATTACATTTTGAGATAACTGCTGATTCACAGATTCACATTTTGCATTCACTGGAAAAATGAGGGTGTCTGGATCTGTTGGCCTGAAACCAATAATTAGAGTGGAGTATCTGAATAGTTGGTTACCATCTCTGAGTCTGAAGCAGCCTGTATCTGTGTGTGGTACGTAATTGAAATATCACCATATCCTACAGCAATAGTTCATGACTACTATAGGTACTCAAGGTGCTTTACAAATATTAATTAAGCTCACAACACCCCTGTGAGTTAGGTAAACGTCATCCCTATTTAGTAGAAGAATAAATGGAAGGGTCCACCCTTTTGCTTTATTCCAGCAGTGACAGTTCACCAGTCCCAAAGGCAACGGGCCCAGAGGGCTTGCCTCTTTTCCAGACCCTTTGATTAGAATTCCAAACGACAGACATTTTTATTATGAGATTCTACACAGGCTTGCAATTTATAGCATTGTTTAGCATGCATTCCTTTTATGCTCTTTCAGTTGCATCTTCTGCTGCTATTGCAGCATTTGATTATTTCATATGAGACAAGTATCAAAGTCAAATGTTCTTACATGTTTAGCAGACTAGGCGTTGGACTAGTAGTGAGTATGTGGTCTCTCTTGTTTCCAAGAAGACTAAGGTGCTCAGCAGATTTGAGCAAATTATTGCAAGTGGGGCTGATCCTAGTACAGCTTCATGGTTGTGTTGAGGCTTTTGATGCACCAAAGCGATATTTATGCACTTTGACAATGGCTAATAACTGCTACAGTGGGTTTCTATTAGTCACCATTGGGGATACCAGCCCATGAAAAAAATGTCAGCGTTTTAATTTTTCAAGTGGGTGAACATCATTCATTCCTATCTTGTCTGATGATACATTTGCAGTGTTGTGATGCAAAAAAATATGATTTACCTGGCACAAATTTTAATTTGGGACTTTTTTGCACCCTGGGGTCTGATGTTGCAGGAAGCAGGACAAATCCACAGAAAAGTAGAAGTGTCCCTTTAAAGACAAGATGAGAGGCAATGCAACAGTGAATTTCTGTTGCTCAATCCGTACATTGCTAGTAGTAGTTACTGGATTAATCAGGAAGACCCAAATGGATGGAAATATAGGGGTGATTGTTTTTAACTAATAAGCTATTTTTGCTCTCTGTGATCTAGCAGGTAGGACAGTGCAGTTACAGTTAAGAACCCTGGGTCATATTTACAGCTTTGTCAATAACCTGCTATATGACCTTTGACAAATACCTTTATCTCCCTATTTCTCAGTTTCCCCATCTGTTAAATTGAGATGATACTTAACCTCTGCTTATTATCATAGTTGTTAAACAGTTGTTACTATTATTATTATTTTCTCTAACATTGAACTTCACTTCCCTTTTCTCCTTCACCTATCTATTCATGGGCATTT